CTCACTAGGCTAATCCTCTGCCTGCCGTGCTGGCACCCCGGGTTCTAGTCCCGGTTGGGGACCGGATTCTGTCCTGGCTGCTCCTCTTCCAGTCCAGCTCTCTGCTGTGGCAGAGAAGGCAGTGGAGGATGGCCCAAGTGCTTGGGCCCTGCACCCGCATTGGAGACCAGGAGGAAGCACCTGGATCCTGGTGTTTGATCGGCCCAGCGGCCATTTGGGGGATGAACCAATGGAAGGAAGACCTTTCTCTCTGTCTCTCTCTCTCATTGTCTAACTCTGCCTGTCAAAAATAAAAAATAAAAATAAATAAAACAGTTTGTATTAGCAGGAAGCATTTCTTCTGACCTGCTCTCTACTCCAAGCAGGTGCTTTCATTGTCTTTATAATTCTCTGGTGGGTGAATTCTTCTAGCAACTGTCGAGGTGGTAATGTGCATCACTTTCATCAATACTAGCTTCAACTCAAGGAATGTTGCTCTTAAAATAACAGTGAACATAAACCATCTGCATTTAAGCACTTGACATTTTGGTAAAATACAACAGCTATTCTAAAAACTCCAACTGTTTAACTTGAATTCATTTGATTTTTTTTTCTTTTTTTCTATTTTTATGGGGCAAAGGTTCAAAAAAAAGCACAGTTACTGTTTAATGAAAACAGCAGGCAATGCATTGCACAAACAGAGAACTGCTCTCCTATTCCCATTTGAGAGACCTGAATTTTAAAAACTCAATTCCTCCTTGGAAATCATCCTGCTTTTTATTCAAATTGCAAACATTCAGGTTACCAACTGTTTGAGGAATTGAAAGAGATTTTCAATTTGAAATTGACATAAGAATCCTTTTTGTTTCAACTGGGAAAAGATATTCAACTTGGTTTTTATGAATTCTATATAAAATATAATAGCTTTCTAAATAAGACAGAATTAATTTCACAATTGAACTCCTTCCTCTCTTACTTCCTTTTTTTTTCTTTTTTTCACAACAACCTACCTTGGCTTTCTCTCTCTTTGCCTTTAGTCTCTCACTTGCTTTCATGTCCAACAACATTCAGTCATTTCATTGAAATATAAATAGTTGATTCTATCTCTTGCTCTCTATGGCCATTTATTGCATTTTTGCATTGTATTCAGCTCGATTTAATTTACTGTAGAGAACACTCCCAAAGTCCTGCTACTCATCACAGTTATATTCAAGATAAGAAAAATGTATATTTGATTTTATTTGACACACAGAGGGAAGAAGGGATCCATGAGCGCACAAACACATGATATTAAGTGTAATTTTCATCTCCATTTTTTTTTTTGACAGGCAGAGTGGACAGTGAGAGAGACAAAGAGAAAGGTCTTCCTTTGCCGTTGGTTCACCCTCCAATGGCCACCACGGCTGGCGCGCTGTGGCCGGCACGCCCCGCTGATCCGATGGCAGGAGCCAGGTACTTATCCTGGTCTCTCAAGTCCTTGGGCCCTCCTCCACTGCACTCCCTGGCCACAGCAGAGAGCTGGCCTGGAAGAGGGGCAACCAGGACAGAATCTGGTGCCCCGACCGGGACTAGAACCCGGTGTGCCAGCGCCACAAGGCAGAGGATTAGCCTAGTGAGCCACGGCGCCGGCCAGAGGCTCAGTTTTAATCCTAGATCTTAAGCTTATTATAAAACAGGGGCTGGTGTGGAGCATGTTATAAAATAGGTGCAGTGGTTGGCCTGCAGGGTTGGCATCCCATGTGGGCACCAGTTTGAGTCCTGGCTGCTCTATTTCCAGGCCAGCTCCCTGCTAATGCACCTGAGAAAGCAGTGGAGGATGGCTTAATTCTTTGAGCCCCTATACCTATGTGGGAGACTCTGAAGAAGCTCCTGGCCCCCAGCTTTGGCATGGCACAGCCTGGTAGTTTTAGCCCTTTGAGGAGTAAACCAGTGGATGGAAGATCTCTCTCTCTCTCCTTCTCTCCCTCTCTGTTTCTCTCTCTCTCTTTCTCTGTTTGTGTCTTTTTCTCTCTTTATGTAACCACCTTTCAAATAAATAAATAAAAACCAGCATAATACTGTATAGACTTTTCAGATTAAATCTCCAGTGCTGTAGACAGAAACCTCCTGGAAGTTTCATCTTGCGGTGCTCCAAAACCTGGCAACCTGGAACCTGGACTCATAGGAGTTTCCTAGTTATGACTATTTCTTTTCTAGCCATTTCTGTACACTTGCAATTTGTCATTCCTTTCAACGAACTAAAACCTAACAATGAGGAGTGATTTTTGATGAGCATCTCCTGAGCTCCTCACTTTTTAGTTACTTTGATAGACTGTGGAAACTCAAGCTTTAAACATCCACTGTCATTCATTGTAGTGATAGACATGTAGTACCTAAAACAGTATAGCAATTGACATGTTCAATAAAGTGTAGTCCTTATTCCACCATCAAGTCTTATTTAGGGATGACTTAAATTTCAGCTTCATTTAATGTCTGTTGAACACCTACCAAATATGATTCATCATGTAACTTTACATATACTAAAATTTGACAACTTAATAATCATAGCTACTCTATAAGTATTATATTACTATGTAGGATTTGTATATGAATAAACTAAGCTTATAAGAATAATGAAAAAAGTCCAAAATAATAAAAAGTCTAAATATTTAACAGGGAATTAGGAAATAGAATATTTCAGGAGAATGGGATAAATTTATTTTTAGTAGAATATTGGGTATTTTCAATACATAAAAGAGAGAATACTACTGAAATGACCATCCATATTTGCCAATTCCTAATGATATATTCATGTACCTATATAATCTATGCCTGTTTTTTGCTGATTTCCATTTCATCTCTAAATATAAATTGAGCAGCTGTCCTCCAAAGTCATGCATTCTTAACACAGAAAAAATTGCTCCAAGGGAGTCAAAATCAATCATTAGGTTACAAATATATTACTATGGCCTGAACTGTAATCCATAAAAATGATTGCAATGTATTTCTGGTATTAAATATCATAAGGAAGAGATTAGGACAGAAATGTTCAGATTTTCTTTTGGAACTGGGAAAATGAGAAAAGGAAGCCGATCAACACTGTCCTAAAATCTACACATATGTCTAGAAACACACACGCACACAACACATATATACACACAAGCAAATAAACACATACAGTGGGAGACTTACTTCTGAATTTATAAAATTGACATAAAAACACTGCCTTAGAGATACCTTATCCACCTTCTTTTCACATCTGAAACCCTTATTTCCTGCATATCTTGCAGACCGACCTACTAGAGGCAAGTGCCAACTTTTCCTTGTCAGTGCCAAGGTGCATCTGGGCTAACTCCTCTGAATTTTCTGAACTTCATTAAATAGAAATATTGTTTACATGAAAGGAGACATTGGCTGTTCTTAACATTAGCTTCCCAAAGACAATAAAATAAATACATAAATGAAGAAGGTGTAAATCTTCTTAACTTTCATTCTTGGATCATTATTTTTAGTGTTTTATGGTGCCTAGTTTTATTTTACATAATAGTCCTACAAAAATTGATAGATTTTAAAATGTTACCACATTGGTAGAAGTTTGGGAAAATATTTTAAAATGAATCACTATAGTTATGTGCAATTTCTACATTTGAGATTACAGAAGAGCTTATATAAAGCAATATGGTTGATAAAATTTTCTTCAAATGACTATAGAAATTGTATTCCAAGAGTAATTAGCATTATTACGAAGAAAGAAGAGATAGAATATTTATACAAGTAGGAGGACTTAATATATGCCAAATATTAAGGAAAAGTTCTTGATATTTTCCTAGACCTGAATTTAGATTTGTTTGGTCATGAAAAATATATTTTGTTTGGAATGAGAGGTTATGGTGGTTAACTAAAAAGAACACTTCCTTATGATCAGCTAAGAGAATTGAGATTGTTCTGAGGCTTAGCCTGCTTTACAAATTGAAACTAAAGACTGAGGGGCAGGTGCTGGGTGCTGTTATGGAGGCCAACTGGGACACACACATCACATATTGTAGCACCTGTGTTCTAGCTGGTGATGGATCTAGTGCTTGGGTGTCTGCCGCCGATGTGGGGACCCACATTGAATTCTGAGCTCCTGGCTATGGCCTGGCATGGCATAAGCTGTTTGAGTGTCTGGAAAGTGAATAAGCAGATAGAAAATCTCTTTTTGTCTCTCTGCTTTTTAAATAAAAATAAATTTATTAAAGCTAGAAAGATGCTTCTGTCTATATTATTAACATATGTATTGAGCCTTTTAATGCTGTGTATGTCCAAATTATGTTTTCATGCAAAAAAATCTATGAATCCAAATAATGTTTGTTCTTGTGTTTTTGAATGTTACCAACATAAAGAACCCTGGCCTTTCAAGATTTTTATTTTTTCCATATCTTTAGTTTTACTAGACAGAGGTTTCTATGAAATATTCTATCAAATATCATCTTTATTTTTAGACATAAAGATGCAGGAGTCTAATGCATATGTCTAATAAATGGAAGATAACTCATCTATTATAACTAATTTACTGTATTACATGAACTTTCTTTAAGATAGTACTATTGACACACAATAAAATTCAAATTTTTATATATTCAAAATCTAGTGTATATGTAAAAACATAACTAACTAATGCCAAATTATTTTCTGTGAATCCCTAATATGAAATGCTACTGACATAAACTTGAGTGAAAATCCTAATCTCAACATTTCTAAAAGTACACATGCACACAAATACAGACATAGACAGACTTGTATGATAAATTCCAGTTATTATAATTAGTAAAAAAAAACAGAGGTCATACATGAATAATTTTTAGATAATTTATTGTATACTCAGTGAAAATATTTAAAATCATAAGGGACAAATATTAAAAATACTACAGGGCATATTCATTCTTTTAAAAATTCCATGGACTCAATTACATTATGTTCATAAATAATTACAGCTTCTTTATAGATAACATCTTTATAAAAATATATGATTTTGGGCTGAAGGAGAAGACGGTGGTCTCCACAGGAGTTAAAGTTCCTCGTAATTTTCGCTTGTTGGAAGAACTTGAAGAAGGACAAAAAGGAGCAGGCGATGGTACGATTAGCTGGGGCCTTGAAGATGATGAAGACAAGACACGAGATGGACAGGCATGATTATTGGGCCACCAAGACCACATTATGAGAACAGAATATATAGCCTGAAAGTCGAATGTGGACTTAAATACCCAGAAACGCCTCCATCAGTTAGATTTGTAACAAAAATTAATATGAATGGGATAAATAATTCCAGTGGAATGGTCGATGCACGGAGCATACCAGTATTAGCAAAATGGCGAAATTCATGTAGCATTAAAGTTGTACTTCAAGAGCTAAGACGTCTAATGGTGTCCAAAGAGAGTATGAAGCTTCGACAGCAACCAGAAGGATAAACATACAGCAGTTAGTTTTAAGGGAGCTCAGACTTGCCTTAAACCAACAACCTTCTACTCATATCAATGTCTTGACTAAACATCACAATGCAAAATACCCACACATTCAGTAAAGAATTCCAGCTGGGATATGTGACCCGGGCATTTGTAATATATTTAATGTATGTACACCCATTATGTTTTCAGGTAACTGGAGGAAAAATGCAGCATAATTTTTCTTTCTCTTGTTGAGGCACTGTCATTTAAACATAAACCTGGAGCGCTTCAAGTAGAATTCGGGTTTACAAGATGCAAGTGTGGCAAGACGTGAAGATGGCAGTGGAAACGTATGTTTCTGAAAAGTAAAAATCCCAAGGACAAACAGAAATGGCATCTTTATCCATCTTGCTTAGTGAAAGAGCTGCAGTTGCAATTGTTTAAAGCAGCAGGTACAATGAATATTGTCACAACTTGTGTTAAATTTTAAAGCGGTGTGGGTGCTGACTACTAGTAGTATAAAAACAAGTTTAGGATTGTTTTGATACCTGTGTTTATAATAAAAAATGTTGGGGGGGTCGAAGAATTTCTGTTAAAAGTTGTTCTTGTGTGTTACATGTAACAGACATGGTAAATATTTGTTTACATTTCTTTGTTTAACAAACCATGCAGTTAAGTTCAAGTGAAGTCCACAAAAAAAGGAAATAGGTGTATGGAGATGTGATTTTGAGATTAAAGTTAGTCATAAAATGTAAATAAAACGTGGGAAGTGTCTTCGGAAAAAAAATACATGTTTTTTATAAAACTGACATTTTAAAGAATGCCTTTGAATGTAGGAAAGCAGATAGTTACAGACATACACACAAAAAGGAAATTAGTTCACTTTGTTACTTATATATTTTACATTTGAAATCCTCCTACTCAGATTTTAAGCTGCTAAAACATGGAAAGTTAATTATATTTAAAAATAAATTTATGGGGCCGGCTCGGTGGCTCACTTGGTTAATCCTCTGCCTGTGGCGCCAGCGTCCCATATGGGCTCTGGGTTCTAGTCTTGGTTGCTCCTCTTCCAGTCCAGCTCTCTGCTGTGGCCCGGGAGCGCAGTGGAGGATGGCCCAAGTCCTTGGATCCCTGCACCTGCATGGGAGACCAGGAAGAGGCACCTGGCTACTGGCTTTGGATCCGTGCAGCGCCAGCCATAGCGGCCACTTGGGGAGTGAACCAACGGAAGGAAGACCTTTCTCTCTGTCTCTCTCTCACTGTGTATAAATCTGTCAAATAAAAAAAAAATAAGTTTATCGGCTGGTGCCGTGGCTCACTTGGCTAATCCTCTGCCTGAGGCACCGGCACACAGGGTTCTAGTCCCGGCTGGGGTGCCGGATTCTGTCCCAGTTGCTCCTCTTCCAGTCCAGCTCTCTGCTGTGGTCTGGGAAGGCAATGGAGGATGGCCCAAGTGCCTGGGCCCTGCACCCGCATTGGAGACCAGGAGGAAGCACCTGGCTCCTGGCTTCAGATCGGTGCAGCACCGGCCATAATGGCCATTTGGGGAGTGAACCAACAGCAAAGGAAGACCTTTCTCTCTGTCTCTCTCTCACTGTCTAACTCTGTCAAAAAAAAAAAAAGTTTATCTTAAATCATTATAAAACCTCAATGATGCAATGTCAATTCACATAATTTGTGCATCCGAGTGTTTAATAGGAATTAGCAGTCTAGTGTGGAACTGAAAATTTAAAATAAATCAACCTAGCATATTTGTATGTGTGTATTAAATTTTCTAATTCTGTGTGGCACTCTATAAAATGAGTATTTTTGCTTTTTTTTTTTTTTTTAGCTGTGATTTTATTTCTCCTTTGATTTCTTTTTTCACAATTAGCCATTTCTTCTCCTCTGGAGATTTCATTGTTAATATTTTAAAATTTTATACTTATTTTCTAGATCAATTTCTTTCCTTTTAAAAATAAGTATTTCACTTTAGGAAAGACAGACACATATAGATATTTTCCTTCTACTGATTATTTTCTAATGTCCCTAATAACAAAAGTTAGACCAGGTTGAATCCAGGAGTTCAGAAGTCCTTGTGGGTCTTCTAATATAGAAGTGGCAGGGATCCAAATACTTTAGTCATCATCTATTTCATTCCCAGGGAGTTGGATTGCAAGCAGAGCAAAGAATCAAACAAGGCACCCAGATGAGGAATCCAGGCATTCCAAGTGACATCTTTTTTTTTTTTTTTTTTTTTTTTTTAAGATCTATTTATTTATTTGAGAGGCAGAGTTACAGACATAGAGGGAGAGACAGAGAGAAAGGTCCTCCATCCGCTGGTTCACTCCCTAAATGCCTGCAACTGCCAGGGCAGGGCCGACCTGAAGCCAAGAACCAGGAGCTTCTTCCAGGTCTGTCTTTCTTTTTTCTTTCTTTTTTTTTTTTTTTTGTTGTTGTTGTTGTTGACAGGCAGAGCGGACAGTGAGAGAGAGAGACAGAGAGAAAGGTCTTCCTTTTGCCATTGGTTCAACTCCAATGGCCACCGTGGCCGGTGCATTGTGCTGATCTGAAACCAGGAGCCAGGTGCCTCTCCTGGTCTCCCATGCAGGTGCAGGGCCCAAGCACTTGGGCCATCCTCCACTGCACTCCCTGGCCATAGCAGAGAGCTGGCCTGGAAGAGGGGCAACCAGGACAGAGTCTGGCGCCCCAACTGGGACTAGAACCCGGTGTGCTGGCACCACAGGCGGAGGATTAGCCTATTGAGCCGCGGCGCTGCCCTCTAGGTCTTTCATGTGGGTATAGGGGTCCAAGCACATGGGCCATCTTCCACTGCCTTCCGAGGACACTAGCAGGGAGCTGGATTAGAAGTAGAGATATACCAAATGACGTCTTAATGACTGTGCTAAATGCCTGTCCCTAGGTCTCTACGTTTGCAATCATGATTTGTTGCTTTTTTTTTTTTTTGTATTTTTGCATTACTCCTTGTCATCATGAAATTTTTGCAACTAAATTTCAGCTTCTCTAATTTCATTTTCAATTGTGTCCATTTTCATTTATTTTCCTTTGGAAATTATTTTTGTAAATTGTTTTTAACCTGATCTATTATATCCTCACATTATATATATATATATATATATATATACATGTATATGTATATGTATATATATATATATATATTTGACAGACAGAGTTAGACAGTGAGAGAGAGAGACAGAGAGAAAGGTCTTCCTTCCATTGGTTCACTCCCCATATGGCTGCTACGACACCCTGAATGCTGCGGCCGGTGCATTGCGCCCATCCGAAGCCAGGAGCCAGGTGCTTCCTCCTGGTCTCCCATGCAGGTGCAGGGCCCTAGCACTTGGGCCATCCTCCACTGCACTCCCGGGCCACAGCAGAGTGCTGGACTGGAAGAGGGGCAACCAGGACAGAATCCGGCACCCCACCAGGGAATAAAACCTGGGGTGCTGGCACCCCAGGAGGAGGATTAGCCAAGTGAGCCATGGTGCCAGCCTTATATCATATTTTTATATCTTCCAAAGACACATTTTATTTGATTTCATGACCTAAGAAATGTACTATGGTTTGTGTATTTCTCCAGAGACTAAATAATATGGTTCTACTTCTTCTGACTAGCATTTATCAAAAAGAATTGATTCAATTAGAAATTATTTCTTGGGGAATATGAGGGAACATCAAAAGGTTTGTGGAAAATGGAATTAAGAGAGAAATTTATTCGTGTAAAAATGTTTGAAATCTATGCATGTTTTCCATGATGTTTATATTCTATTAAACTTTTGAAGATACCTCATAAACATTTAAGAATTTGCAAATTATGTTCCTTATGTGTGACTTTCTTTTAAAAAAGTGCTCATTTAAGGACATTTTTTCTTTTTCTTTTTTTCTTTTTTTTTTTTTTTTTCCAGTGTCTTGGCTTTCCATGCCTGAAATACTCTCATGGGCTTTTTAGCCAGATCTGAATGGGCCAGCACCTCATATGGGTGCTGGTTCGAGTCCCGGCTGCTCTACTTCCAATCCAGCTCTCTGCTATGGCCTGGGAAAGCAGTAGAAGATAGCCCAGGTCTTTGGGCCCCTGCACTCACATAGGAGACCCAGAGGAAGCTCCTAGCTCCTGGCTTCAGATAGGTGGAGCTGTGGCCCTTGCAGCCAATTAAGGGAGTGAATCGGCAGATGGAAGACCTCTCTCTCTCTCTGCCTCTCCTTCTACCACTTTGTAACTCTGACTTTCAAATACACAAATAAATCTTTTTTTAAAAAAGAATGAAATACAAACTGGATTCATGTTATGATTTTCATCTTCATGAATTTCAGACTATAGTCTTAACACTAATTTAAAAATTTTAATAATATAAAGATAATAGATTTCAAGCATTTCTTTGGTACAATTCTAAGAACATAACCATTTTTGTGATCAACAATTAGCTTAATGGGTCTTTTTTTTTTTTTCTTCCTCAGGAAAAGTTAGATCTTTACTTGACCACAAATTACCTTCTCATCATTTAGTGACAGTGCATAATGAAAAGAGTATCTATATAACATCAAGAGATATTTTTATGAACTTTCATCAGGAACCTATCACAATTCATTTGGTGAAACTGACAAGTGGTAAATTACTTCGATTTCCTTTTTTCATATGAGAATGAATCTTGTCTCCAAAACTTTTTGAGGAAATGGGAGAAAATTCATATGGGTTACAATTTCGAGTAAGGCAAGAGAAATCTTGGGCCAACCTTGAGATGGAGAGAATTATTTGTGAACAACCCAATGAAGGAATTGCAATCAGCCATGCTGGAGAGGTTTTTCAGCAGCTTCTGATTTTCATAATCACGTCGCAGTAACTTAATAAATAGTGTGCTTGGGATTTTTAAAATCCTATTTCTAAATGATTAGACACATTTTAGTGTATTTGTAAGAAAATAATTCAAGAAAGATGATATATTTTATGGAAATAAAGTTGCTTTTAAATCCTTTCCACCTTAAATATGTAGTTTCTTATGAAGAACATTCCTCACATTTGGATAGTG